TTAAGTTTTCCAATTGCTTTCTTGGGGTAGCTGGAGGGTCTGTGCTTTCTTAATTGAGATGTGATGCTCTTTGTCATGGAGGAAAAGGAAGCCAAACTCCTCTTCAGCTGTTGTTGCACCCATATCCTGTAATCAATGGCTCTCATCCACACTTGCAATATGGGCCCCAAAATTTTTTGAGCAGCATGATGAATTTTCTTGCAAGAATTTCTGGCCTTGTTTACTCTCGTAACTACCTGTTGTGAGCTCTTAGAAGTGGCCTTTGGATCCCAGAAGCCCTTAAGCAGCAGATTGAAAACATGGTTTGCAGTTCTTTGTGAGCTAAGCTCAGAGCCTGAGTATTTTGGCTGACTTCTGAGCTCTCTTTTCTTCCCTTCTCCCCAGTGCATGCACCCATCCCAAGGGTCGTGGAGGTTCATAGTCTAATTTTAAGCAACTAAACCAAACCGCGTGTTTTTATAATGGTGTTGCAATCTTTTTGGAGCCTGAAACACAGCAGGAGGTTTAGGCTAATACAACCCAAAAGCACCTTTGTTAACCTGGCCTTCTTGTTTAATGTGAGCAAAAGAGCTCTTAGGATGAGGTGAGGGGCACCTCTGAGTTGGCGGGGATGAGAGACCATGAAAGCAACACCCTGATGTTAGGGACAGACATGGGAGTGGGGCTCTCCAAGCAGAAAAACACTGAAACTGCTCAGGCTGAGACTGATGGTGAACCAGTGTTCAGAACAGTGAACAGAGCTGCTGTGTGTCTGTTATGTGTATTCTTCTCTAAACCTGGCACACTACAGAGACTCTAGGAGTAGTTGTTCAGAGCTGAGGGGAAAAAACAAAACAATACTGAATGTTAGAGGCTTTTTAGGCTAGTGGAGAAAGGGATGTAACAGGATCCAATGTCTATGTTTGTCTAGCATTGATTTCCAATTGGGAAACGAGGTGGATGTTTTTAACAATGGGATGATGAACCCCTGGAGTGGTTGCCAAAGGGATGTGGTAAGCTCTCTGTTACTTAAAGCCAATATATCAAGTTCAAGTCACTTTTCTGAAAGCAGCAATCCAGCTCAACTAGAAGTTCCTGGGCTCAGTAAAGGACCACTGGGTAAATTTTTACACCCACAGGTAAGTGGAAGGTCAGATTAGATGATCATAATAGTCTTTTTTACCTTCAGAGTTGAAATCCTCGAGCATCTACTTTATAAATGTGAAATCAAAAGGATGAGAAAGGTCTTAGAGCCAAATATTACCTGCCAAACCCAATTATCAGAACTGCAGTTCAAAGTGATCTGTGCTCTTGTTGAGCCAGAAGCATTTGACCACTGATTATGGCAAAGGATATAAGTGCTAGGGGAAGTGAGAGGGCTGCAAGCAAAGGGTTTCCAAGTTCAGGAAACCTGCACTTACCCCATGTAGAGAAAAGCCTGGCGAGACATATGAATTACCTTAGGCTAAGCTAGTGTCTGCTTCAGAAGAGGACCTCCCAGAAAGGTGCAGGACTCAGTGCTGCTGGAAACAGAAGAAGCAAGGGTTTTAAGAATGCCTCAAGGATGGGCTCTGAGCATGAGTGGGGATGAAATGGGAGTTGGGCAGCTTCGTCTCCTACCAGAGCAGCCACTGCACAGGGGGACACAAAACAGATAATCTCATAGCTTCAGCATTTCCCCATGATCCATGTAAGACAGCAAAGAGCCCTTGCTTCCCAGTACAGAAAGGAGGGAGCTGGCAGGTCCAATATTGAGTGCTTGCAGCCAAGCCTATCTTGTATCTGATGCCCTGTATACATACACGTTATGAATGATTCCTTTCCTAAGAAATGAGCCCAGGTTAAAAATAGACTCTTCATTTAGCTATGTGCTGCCTCCTTCCTGCTTGCTGAGGCCGGAGATCTCTTGAAGTGCTGGTAGTCATTTTTAATGTGGAAATGTTTAGAAGCCAAAATTGTCTGGCACCTCTTGCCAGTATGGGGAGCTCTGGGGACAGCTGTAGGCCAGACAGTGGAGTCTGGTTTTCTCCTCACCCTGGCCTGGAAGGGTGAGGAGAAGTTTACTCTAGGAACAACTTCTTCATTGCTCTTTCCAGCCTTGACCCTCTGCTGAGGTTGTTAACGAAGAGCTAGTTATCACCGGGGAGTTTTGTAATGTGGTACCAGGGGCTGGATTAAGATGAAATATTTTAAAGTTGTTACGCTACAGACAAACTGAGCCTGATAGTCTGCCTTGTGTATGGGACAGCCTCCTGCCAGTGTCACCAGCTCCCTGCTACTATGGTGAACTTGTACAACAAGGCATGTGTTTGGAGAGTATACGGCAACACTTTCACTCCTCTATCTCTGCTCCTCTTCTGTGGAATTATTTCTACAACGAGCATGCAAAGCTGGAAGGCTTTCAAGTTTAGGATCTAAATTACACTGATACTTTCTCTTTAATTGTCAGCTCAGGGTTTGCAGGACTTTGCCATTGTATGAGAAGCAGGGGCACAGAAAGCCACATGATGATTCCCCCGTCACCTGCTGACCTGAAGGACTGAGTACTAGCCTAGAATGGCACTGTAAGTAATTATATGTTCTTGCAGTTTGCAATGAAGTAATCAGGATTAAGCCTAAAGTCATGATTAAAACTATGCAGCTCACACTGTGGGGTGAAGAGGATGAAAACAATCAGGTATTTGCTAACTGAACAGTTAATGCAGTGGTTTTTACTCTGACTAATCAAAGCTCTTGGGGTTGGCAGTATTTGTCAGATCTTGCCTGAAAGAGATGGAGACTTCTGATCTTTGTGCTTGGGAGGAGAGAAGGAAGGGGGAATATAAGAGTATAAAATATCTTTGGGAACCTCAGACTCTGTGAGGGATGTCCTGTTTGAGTTTCTGGCTTACAGATCCCCACAGAGGCATGATCAATCATTGGTGGATAGTGCTACAAAGGTGAGAAACTTGTTTTACACTGACTCCAGAAGGGCCTGGTCCAAGTGCTGGTCACTGAGACAGTTTAATTGGAACCTGAAGGGAACTGAGAAGTTGTGACCTTCCATCCTTATCATCAAGGTCATGGTCACATGGAGGCAGGAATTGTCACCAAGCAAATCCCTTCCTCTTCCTCCAAGACCTTGAAAAGATGCCTGTGATTGGCTTGATTCTGAACCTTTTGAGCATGAAGTTTGTCTACCCCCAGGGCAAATCTGAATGTGACTCCCTGCTCATCAAATACAGCTATGCCTTTGCTGTGGTGGCATCTGGAGCATCTTTTCCATGGGTGCTCTCAAGCCCTCACACTTCTTTCCTCCCTTGGCTGCCAGAGCAGTGTGTGCCCTCAGCTCTCTGACTCAGCCCTTCTCCCTTGTTTTATGGCTACACCTTGTCTGCTCTCAGCCTCAATAATTCATTATAAAAAATGATCCAGTTTTCAGAAATCACAACGTTCTGTGTCTTCCACTTAATTATTGTTTTATTTTAATAAGCAATTATGTTTTGAAGGCACCTCAGGGCTTCAGGCGTTAACCACTTATCACCTGCTGAGTGATTTAAAACTAGTGAAGCACATCCCATTTGCAGGTTGGAATAAGGTCTGAATCCTATCAGCAGACAAATGAGGTCAGAAATACTCCATGTTTGTAACTTATTGCATATGGTTTCATCTCCTGGTCCTCAGAGAGGGGCTGGTTATGTGCTGGAGGGATGTCTGTTTCCTTGTTGTTCTGATAAGAAGCAAAGGGCTCATTAGGGGCTGTGAAAGGGAGAGGACTATCTGTTGGCTGGTTTGTACAGTTTACTTTGCCAAATGCCTTCCACAAGTCTCTCTTCACTACAGACCACAGAACAAAATCCTAGCTACTAAGTCAACCCACAGCTCAGGTATCCCTCATGTGAGATGAAAATCTACTCCAGCGTGAGTTATAAGGGCAGGAAGTCTGTGAGTCTCAGTCTGGAACTGATATGGAAAATAAATACAGTCTCACAGGCCTGAGATAGTAGGTGCAGTTATTGGTTTCTTCAGGACTTGTTATTCCCTACCACGAGGCAATTTGTTGAGCCTATTCCAAGAGCAGGAAACTCTCTAGCTGTAGCAATTTGCAGGAATAAACTCTGAGCATTCCCATAGATTGGAGGACACTGAGCAGTGGCACCTTGGAAAATAGAGATCTGGGTTATCGGTGTATTTCTCCCGGAGCTTTTATGACCTGATGGTTTCTTTTTTGTCCTCCCACATCTCCTTGACTTACAGGTGGCACAATTGGAAGCTTATTTGAAAACAGAAGCCCATTACATCTTTCTCTATTTTTATGTTTTGTATTAAAAATACAACCCAGCAGCCAGGCCTACCCTGATCTCCTCATCGGAAGGCTGCAGCCCAGCTCATGTGCACTCTGGAGCATTATTACTGACATTATCTACAGTGTTAGTCAGCACATGTGCCATATGCTCCAAGGTGTATGTTCTCCACTTATTGACTGAAGAGGAGCTTTAAACATGTTTAAATGTCAGGGAAGATTTAAAGGTGCTGTGATCCACACTAGCCATTGGGTGCCAAGGGGACCATCTCTGGTGTTGGTATGGTCCACAGCAGAATGCTCCCACACGGTGCACAAGGAGTTCCTGAACTAGGAAATCTCAGGGAAGCAGAGAGACCCATCAGCTACCAGCAGCTCATGTGACAGTGGCTGGGGGCACCTGTGCAGGGCTATAAAATAGGCCCCTGGAGAGGAAGGAGAGATGGGAACGAGGTAAGGTGAAAGTGGTGTCCTTACTGCAAAGAACTATTTCCTTCCCACTTGCTCTCTGATGTATCCTTTGGGGGTCCTTTTCCATGCTGAAGATGCTTATTTAAAACTGTAGTTGCTTTGAGTTCAATAGGAGGGTAGAGATTGTGGTGAATTGTGCTGTTGCCCATAACGTGTTCCTTGAGATGACCAAACCTGTTTCTGCTTTTGTTTCAAAGCTCCAGCCTCTTGGCCCATGTAGGTGATGTCTCCTGTCCACTGTCTTCTCCACACTGCCCATTTTTCCAGACAGAGTGAAATGAGGACAGCAACTTTATTTTTGGAGAAACACAGCCCTTTCTAAGGTACATCCAGCCTGAATTACATGTCAGAGCAGCCCTTGTTATGTTCCTACCTGTGCATCATCAGAATGGGCCCAATAAAAAGCCTCGTTTCTCTTTATTTCCTTGTGATTTTACCTCCCCTGTCCATTTGACCTTCTGTTGTCATCCTCTATTTCTTTCTGGCCCTGTATTTGCTCTGATTTAGAAACTGGTGGCTCCAGCATGAGTGTCTGTGTCAGCGTCTGGAAATCCGGAGCTTGCAGGAGCTCTTCCCACCCTCCTTTCCCATGCAAGGTATGGGCATTACTTGTCCTGTGCCTGCTTCATGAGCTTCCATTCTCAGGTTCCCTGGAGCTGGGCTAGGATGTCTGAGCATTTTTCCACAGTCCTCTTGGTGTTCTTAGCTTGGATTTGGGACACAGCTCAGCAATGTTTGCTTGTCACATCCCCACCAGACTGGAGGACAGCAATGCTAATATTGCAAGAAATTTAGCAGAGCTCAGTGATAGGATTTGACCCAAATCGCAGAGGGGAAAGAGAAGAAGCTCTGTAAAAACTGAAATTCCTCTGGATGATAAATTCTATTAGAAGCAAAGAAATATAAAAGCCAGGTATGAAAGGGGCACATTCTGATTTTTCTCTTGTCTTAGTGTGATTTGAACATAATTTGATGGGGCTCAGCTAAGCAAGCAATGCAGAGACCCGGAGGAATGAGGCTATATTTGCTGAGAAGTCAACATCGTGCCTCCACAGTAGTAGGAGAAGAGGTGTGAATGAGATTGCATAGAGTCAGATCCCTTTCTCCCTGTTGGAAGCTTAAAGAGATTGGAAATGCACTTGAAACCAAATAGACATAGCTGGACTTGCCAACTGTGTAGGCATTTTGATTTATTTTTTTTTTTTACCCCTCCCCAGGGCAGAGCTCAATGAAGACATCAAAGATTCTCTCAGATAGACTTGTGAAGATAGGACTGGGCTCTAAACCAGCAGGCAGACCTGCCATGGGGAGATGATCTGGGGCAAAATGAAGGTAAGAAAACAGTGGACAAACTCAATTAAAGTTGAGAAGTACCAAAAGTTTCTTAGGTAAAGATATCCAGCTGCTCATTACCAGGACTTAGCATATGATCTATCAATATTTATGGACATATCCCTGCTTGATACAGGGTCTACACATTCCCTCCAGTCTAGTTATTTTGTTTCCCTGGAACTAGAAAGCAAAATTTCTTTGAAACAAGACATTTTTCCGACAGCTGAAAAATTCCCTGGCTGCCCAGCATTCAGTGTGAGAGTGAAATACTTTCAATTCAATTGGACAGGCTTTTAGGGCTGAATTGAGGAGAAGCAACCACTGCCCAAGTGTGGAACAATTATATAGATATCAGTTTGTGCCTGAAGAGCCTGAATTTGTACATCTAAGACAGACTGAGCTTAGTCAGCTCAGTGGTGTCAAAAGGTGCATTCCTCAGTTGCACAAGAGCATGATCCACAGGCCATTGAAGGATATGATCCTTTAGAATTGTAAAATACAGATTTTGGAACTGGAGGTGAATCTTCATAAGGTCTTATGATGGTGAATCCATCCTCCTCGCATTTGTCCCATGGAGCCAATACAAATATATTTCCTAGAATATTTCCTCAAATGTTTTCTTTCCTTTTGCTGTTGAAGTGAGGTGATATTTTTCATACATAGTCTGGTTGATGTGCCTGAGGCAATGCTGAAACATAAGTTCTTCAGCTCGTCTGCCTCCTGTGTTTCTATACAAGTCTTGGGCTGGGGGATGAGCAATAACTCAGAAGAGTACCCAAGCCACAGGGGAATGGCTGGAAACATGAGGGACACCTTGAAAGAAGAGCCATTTGAAGGAATATTAATTATCAGGCATCTAGTTCTGGACAATTGAATCCCAACTCCAGATGTTCCCATTCTGACTAAATGCTTTAGCAAAAATGTTTAATTGATTGGTATCTTGTGAGCTCTGTGTGTATGTGATAAAACCCAAGACTGCTGAGCTAGAGGGATTGTCTGTTGATAGCAACACAGTGCACTGAGTGTTTCTTTACCTTTTTAAACTTTGCTTTTTTATCATAAGGAATCCAGGCCAGGTTCAAAATTTATCTTTAATTTATAATCTTTATTGTAGTGTCATAGTGCTGATTAAAGTCACTTAAGGCCCCACTATACATGGATGACTTGAAATAAAGAGACATCTGTGTTTAGTCTGAAAGGCATCTGAGTCTTGTTTAATGAGGGATTGCAGATTTAAGGCCTTCTTGATTTCTATATATCTATAAAACAGGTGCAAAGTTAGAGGGGCAGATGAAAGAAGAAATAGACTATTGGGATAAAATGAAATCAACCTGAGCTTTTACCCCAGGCTGTAATTGTACCAGAGTTGAAGTTCAAATAAGAAATTATTTTTCTCCTTTTTTTTTTTTCTCCTGTTTTTTTTTTCCCTGGCCTTTAAGCTCCAACCAAACTCACAAATGTCAGGCAAGTATAAGGCTGTTCTAGCTGACATCTTGATGGGGGGGGCTAAGCACCACAAAGTAAGGGAAGATGTATAACATGTAAAGTGATACTTTGCAATGAGATTATAAAGTCCCAGAGATTCTACTTGTATTCCTGCAACTGGATGGGAAGAGCTTTTTGTTACAGACCAGATCCAGATTCTAATGAAATCACAGGTGTATTTCCATTTAAGTGGAAACTAAGAGGGCCCTAATGGGTCACAAAGAAGGTTCTCTATGTGATGCTTAGTAGACTGGTTGTGAGTTGATCCAATGTGGTTTCTCACTGGGGCAGACACACCGATTTCAATAGAAACATCCTTGGCTTTTAGGTCCTATTCCTTTTCCATACCAAAAAAACTAAACTGAAAGTAGTAGAGGAAGAAAATTAGTCCCATGCTTCTACAAATGGGAATGCTTTTCCTAAAAGTATGAGAAGTACTTAATGGACAAGTTTTCTGTACAAAAAAAGAAAAAAAAAAAGACATATTTCCAGGCAATACTAGTGTACTGTAATGAGAGAGCAATTTTATGTTTTATTTTTGCCTTTTCTCTCTAGGGTTTCAACCCATGAAATTCTGTTGTGTTAAAAACTGTTATGAAGACCTCAGTGCTGCCCATGACCACCAGAAAAAGACAGATTTAACAAGGGAAAGAGACATGAATTTGATGTGCTGAAATACCCAACTATTTGTTCCCTGGCGTTTGGTTATGCTGAATGCTTTTGTTCCAGCCAGGGTTGCTCATCTGTGAGAAACAAACTGGTGGCACAATCCTCTACACACAACCTTCGTGCTTCTCCATCTGTGGCTTAAGAAGGTTCACAGCTCACTTAATTTGCAGGCATTGGATGTACCAGTCTCTGCCATAACTGATGTGTGTGGAAACAGGTAAGTGAAGGTGAAAAGCCAATTTGAGGGCATTTGTAAGGTAGAGAATTTGTTGTTTTACTATGCAGAAATTTAGGAGTTATTAATTTGTTCTTTTTAAAAATGGTATCTAAATTTAGCTCCTAAAGGGGGTTGTTTTCTAGGGATTAGTGACGGGCTGTGCTGCCAAGGTGTTTAGCCTGATTTTGGAGGAGCCTCCAGCCAGCCTGGATGGAGACTGATATCTTGCAGATTCTTTAGAACACACTGGCAAAAGGACACTTCCTATTAGACTTGGCCTATAAAAGCTATAGATGAACTGTTCCTTTTTACAGACAATACTAATCCTGCCAGCTCAAAGGGAACAGCAACTCTGGAGGAATCCAAGATGCCTTGGCACCCCTACTCAATGACAAACTGGGTATGCTTCCTTCCGAGAGCACTGCTGCAGGGCATCCTGGCAGCAGGATTTATGGGACAGGGGCTATTTATGTATGAAGCAAAAGAAAGGAATGTGGAATTGTTTTCATCTTCATACAGCTACCTGATGCCATTTCAAATACCACTGATCCTCAGCAGAACTTGTAACATTCTAGGCCATGAACTGACTGGCAAGAGCTGTGGACTGTCATGGCTCACATGGGACTAAAATCCAAATACCCAGAATGTCACGGACTCTGATCTGGGCATCAAATCTGAGCTTCTGGCAGGGAGATATCAAATCCTGGGCTGAACCTCTTCTAATTTGTCAGTTCCCAAGCTCAAAACAACAGACGGTTCCTGCAGCTAACAAACTGCTGCTCCAAGAGAAGAGATCAGTGGGAGCAGTTGGGCATTGATGAGCAAAGGCTGAGAGTCTGCCCCACACTGTTTAGAGCTTTGTGATAATAATTAGACCCTAAAAATGTGTCAGTTCTGCGTGAGACAAATCATCAGTGTGGGCCAGGAGCATGTTTGCTTGGGAGTGTGAGTATCTGTGATTTGTGTGAGTTAGCTAATGTAGCTGTGACACTGCATGGTCACGTCCCAGTTTCTAGGCTATAGGAATGGGGTAGGAATAATGAGAGAAGGAAAGACTCTTGCTACCTCCTAATTTCCACTGCCTTCACCACTTCTGAATTTCACAAAACCTTGCCCCACAGACCTGCACCCAGCATTGCTGCTGTAAAGGCAGTGAGTAGCATAAGGGTATTCAAATAACAGCTTCTCTTTCCCATCAGAAAAGTTGTTGGCTTTAAATTACCATTTGAGTCTTTTTAGAGAAGAAAATTGTTATGTCTGTATTACTTTTCTTTCTGCCACTTCTCTTGTCTCAAAGGCCTTCATGCTCTGAGGAGGGAGGAGGCTGCTTCTCCTTGGGAAGAGAAACTGCAGAAGTGACCAGGGTTGATTGCAGAAACAGAGAAAGAAGGAACGGTGACATGAAGTGGATTTGCTGGTCTGAACCATTGAGGTGTTCTGAAGTCATGCTCATCTCCTGCCCATGATCTCCACCTTCTCAGCACTGAATTAACCTTCTGTGTTCAAGAGGGTGAAGAGGAGGATTTGCTGATGTCTCTTGGTCTTTCCAGGATCTATGGCACTGCAGTTTGTTTTCAAGACAACTGTAGTGTTTTACCTTCTGAACTCTTCTTTATTTTTTCCTCTCCAGCCTTCTCAGTGTTGCCTACCTGGAATATCTGCAATCCTTTCAGTTGCTACTCCTTTCTTTTCTTCTATGCTTGGTGAGAGCTGTCTCAGCATCCATTTCCTGTCCCTTTGAGTCCAGTTCCTGACCAGGTGTTTTTGAAAGAACTTGTGCATCACATTTGGAAACCTTCTCTCTTAGGATTTTGTGTAGAAGCTTACTGAAGATCTGGACATGATTCTGCACTCTGCTCCTGTGAACATGACTGTTGCCGTCTGTCCAATGAGTAGAATCATACAGGATCCATGGTTGATGGCTGAGACCAACATTGTTATCCTTGAGCCTGTCTCTTTTGAAGAGGTTGACATGGCTACTAATCTTTATCCCTCTTTTCTAAGCCTTAAACTTCAGGCCAAGCTTTCAAAGGTAAGAGGAGTACAGTTCCTCTTGCACAGTCTCTGATTCACCAATATGACTTCATTGAGAATTTCATCAAAGCCAAAGCAAAATAGATGAAACCTTTCAGGGCAGAGAATAGTTGGGGGACTCCAGCCACAGAGACCCAAGTGCTTTGTCACTGTATTAAATCAAATCCCCAACACAACTAGTTTATAGTAGCATGCAGGCCACAGAGGCTTTGGAGGATGGAGAGCAAGTGAGAAGGGATCTGAGGAGCTATTAATTTTATTTGTGTGCTTTAAGTATGTTTTTCCACCCCTGTAGAGAAAGACAAAATGCACATAACTTATGGAGCCTGAGATTGCTGAATTTCACTTGGACTTGAATGCCAGTCTTGTAACTTTGACTTGGGAACTCATCAAGCCTCATGACACAAGAAAAATGTTGATACTCAGTGCTGGAGAAGTCAACTGCACAAATGAGCCTCCCTCAGAACAACAGCTATAACTTACCTGGCTACTGCCACATCAGTGCCAGAACCACCATTTCCACTGTGAACTGGAGCCCCTGATCCATGGACAGAACCCACTAAGCCAGAGAAGGGAAAATGTGTTTCTGTCTTGGCTGGACTGTAAACATATAATCCCATTCTCTAATGCAAAATTACCACTTCATTTCTTTTATCTGTGAGGAGTGCTGTCTTCTCTTCTGGAATGCCACTCCTTTGGGGGCTATGCTGGTCCCTACTGACCATCAATTTCTAATAATGTTGAGGATTGCATTTCAAGGATGAAACCAAGTAATTCCTCTGTCAGCTCATTGTGAGATGTCTCTGGCTAAAAGCCTGGGAAACAATTTTCTTATGACCTACTCTTTGATGATAGTGGACTGTTTTATGCTGCTGCAGTCTCCCCCACATGCTTGGCTTTGACTTATAAAGCTCAACTGAGAGAGAAAAAAACCCACTGCTGATGTGCATTGCTGCTGCTGGCAAAGGCCAGAGCCCTGCATGGGGCCTCCAAAGAGGGACAAGAATCTATCTGTTGAGATTGAACCTGATTTAATTCTTCTTATAAAGCATCTTGGCAGCTGTCTAGATCTGACAGGTTGATAATAAGACTTTCCCTCAATGCAAAAAGGAAAGCAATTTACATTGGCTTCACACCTCTGGCAAGCAGGAAAGATCCTGCCCTACGCTAGCGTGAATGGGGAGCAGACGTGAGAACGAGAGCAGGCAGCACCAGGGGAAAGGGGGAAGGTTTGCTCCACGCTTGAGCAAGCACAAGGAAATGCCATTTGGAAAACGTCGACGGGTGAGAGAGCTGGGCTTGGAATCAGCATTCTGTCCATGGCAGCAGTTCGGAACAGCTTTCCAGCCAAATCCTGAAGGATCACTCTCTTACAAGGAGCAGCAGCACTACCTGATTTCATGTTGCTCCATTTAGCCCAGCGCTTCTGCTGATACACTGCTCACTCTCCCTCATTACAGCACACGAGCACCAGCACCAAGCTGCACTAAGATTTTTTGGGTTTTGTCATTTCATTGATAGGCAGCTGACAGTTTCCAGGGCAGGACTGTGGCGCTGTGGCAATAATTGCGTGGAGAAGGTCTCTCTGAGAGGTGCAAGGATACAATTACCCAGCCTCTATCTCCCCCAGTACCTGACCAGGCACAGACATTGCCAAGAGCACTGACAAGCGGAGACTTAACTTGTATTATGTTCTGCCCTAAACCTGCGTCACACTAGTCCTGGTTCTAAGGTCCTGGTAAGGTGGGCCCTCAGCAGCTTTCTCCTGCTCTCATTGCCTCCAGAATGAACAACTTGAGGTAGCCTCTCCGTGCTTCATACATGGGCTGTATTGCTCCATACCTCAGTGCAGTGGCATGGGAGGTAATAATTCTAGGATGCACTTCCTAATCCTCAGGTGAAAGCATGCCAAGACAGTGCCATGTCCTTCAGGGAAATGGCATTTAGAAAGTTTTGGTCTTCACAATCCGCCAGCTTTATTGGCCTCTACTCTTCCTGTCAAATTTGAGCTGGGAGGTTGTAGGGAGGAAAGAACTGGATTTACAAAACAAACAAAAGTGGACAGGTAGTGAGAGCATTTACTTTTCTTTTTCCCTGGTCACTAGGATCATGTAGAGGATTTTTTTCTGCTAAAAGGCACTGGCTTGGCCCTGGTGCTCTTTCTTTTGGAGTGCTCTCTGTTACAGAGATGTTTTTCAGAGACCTCATTCTTGAACATTCTCAGCCCAGGGCAGTGCAGGCTGGGGGACTCCTGAGAGATTTGCAATGCCCTGGTGCCTTGGTGGAGGTGGGAAGGAGGACACTTGGGTGCAGAGAGGTAGTGAAGGCTGCTAGGAAGCAGAGCAGAAGAGGACCTTGTGCTGTAGGGACATAATCACCAGAATGTAAGTTTGTTTTCTGACCCCTGATTTAATACGTCTTTAAAGGAAACCCCTGCTAAAATTTGCATTGGTGTATTCCAGCTTTGGACACTGCTGTGCAGCTGTTTCAGGGAAAATGGAGATCCCATCTCAAGGTTGTAACTGATTTAATGTGTTGGCAGGGGTGAGTAGGGCCACAGAGTAAGGACAGTGTCCTGTGGCAGATGGGAAGGTTCAGGTGGTTGCTGAGGAGGTCTGAAATGCAGATCTTTTGATGATGTAGTTGTAGAATATTGCTCAAGAGAAGATACATGACCTGTTTTGGAGGAAGTAGTCTGTAAGA